AAAAAAACTTTTCCTATATAGCCTATATTACCAAGTATATTTTTTGATATGTTAATGCTATTAAAGTGATTTGTTTTACTATTAATAATACAGTATATCTTTTAGGTTTTTTGGTTACTGTTTTAATTACTTAATATGAGAAACCTTGTTTTTTTTATCCTTAGACATAAAAATTAAATATTTTATAATTATTTTAATATAAAATAATTTGCAAATTGTATTGATTTGGTCAAACATAGTCAACATTTTAACTTCAGATTCTCATATAAAATTACTGTGAATTTACACTCAATTTTTTTTTAAAGTTATACTAATACTCACAACTTATGAGGAATCTTGTATTAAATTTTCAAGTTTTTTTGATGAAATAATTATTTTTTTATCGACAATACCTAATGAAAAAAAGGTACTTGTGCAATGTGCTACCTACCTTGACTTCGTTGGTGTAGTAAGCTACCTACCAAATAAACTTTTCGAGTATATACCTATTTTACCTACTGATTATTGATTAATATATATTTATTACAACTGATTAATTAAAATTTAATCAAAGTATAACTTACTGAGTGTTTTGCTGATGCGTGATGATTATTGTTGTCAAGTATTTTATAATATTGTTATACGTCATTATATATTATTTTTACATCATCCCAGAAAACGTCTAATAAGTTGTGTGTGTATTAATAGACCTTCACCTTTCTTCTTTTAATTGTTGATCCAACAAATCTTTTGCTCCTTGTATTGAAATTCCGTATTTAGTTTTGACATGTCTCCATATACACTAGATTTTTTGTGTTTGTGTGCCTACCTTAGGATCAACAAAAAACTTGGAATGATTGACGGTTAAAAGTTGATAACCTATGTATTTTAATGTATTATAAAAGCCATTTATCTGAATAAATAATTGTTTCTAGTTCTATTTAATTTTGTATTATTGGTAGTAAGTTGTCATATCTCCTTTTTGTACTTAAAAAAATCGTTGTTCTAGAACCCCATCAACATTTTTACAACACATACCAAAGAATCCGTGCCCTTGAATGCGAGTAGGTACTGTAATTTTTTTGAGTTGAATAAACATTGATGTTGTCAGTATCACTTGATATATTGTCATCTACATTTTGAATTATATCTCCATTCTTTGATTGTTTTCTATTATATTTACGCTTGATAACAAGCTATACAAGAACCAAAAAAAAAAAGATAAAATTCGAAAAATTTCTCATGCCTATAAATTGCTCAAAAAGATTTGATAGGGTATAGAAGATGGTAATATTAATATTGGGTGAAAATTGCATGTATCCATGGGGTATATACCAAAAATATTACTCAGAATATAAATTCAATTTTAAATTCAGTAACAATAGAATATTTGTAATTATTAAAAATTTAATTAAGTATATTAGATGCATAATACGAGACTGGCATAACGCCCAATCTTGTAGATTTATGTTTTAACCTTCAAAAATTATCTATTTTAAAAGTTTTTAAAAAAATTGTTTTTACTGTTGAAAATTAAATACATTTATACTGTCAATAGAGTAATTTTTTGACCCATTGCTTATAAAATCAATTAATTTTAATATTTTTCAAAATCCTTATTATATTTTTAGTAAGTAGTAATAACTTAAATTATGTTCTATTTTGTGTAGGTAGGTATTTTTATATTTTATTACTTTAAAGTAGATATTTTAGAATTAAATATACCTATTGTATTAATTAACACTAAATAATTGATCATTTAGTTTTATGACGTACAACTCTATTATTTGTAACTGAATATCTTAAATCTTTGTTATATTTATTTACATAATTATTTGTTTCTATATAAAGTTATTAAGGCCCCTCTAAATATTATAAAACTAATATAATTCTTTATTCTTAACACAGTATGTAGAATATTGCATGACTGTTTAAAATTTGCTATTCAAAATGTATGCCCAATACTTATCATTGTAAATATTGTTTACTATCCTAATAAATTGTATTTGTGTTGTCTGATAATTGTTTCAAATAAATAATATATTAAAAGATTTAAATTTAAATATGAGTTATATGACACATTAATTGTATTTGTTTTCTATTTTTAATTTATTTTTTAACTCAATATGACCTATAATATCTCACAATAATTGGTATGTACATAGGTACTAAAGTTTAAACTTGATTTAAAGTGTGTTGAATCAGACAAAAGAAGGAATGTATGGTGCAATTTAAATGTAAATAGTGTTATGTTATTAACAAATAATTTGGTGTGACACTCAGTTATTGATTTTTATTCTTTAGAAGGAAAGAGGTTATTTATTTTATCATTGATGTGGGCTTTTGATATACATTGAAAACATTTTTGAAAATATCTATAATATGAATACAACAATAAATTATCTGTAATACTTATTATAGACCAACAATGTAACACGTACTCTTTTGAGAGATAATTTTGAAACTATCTAATAATAATTTAAAAATAATTTAAATTTTTTTCAGACAAAAAAATATTAATAATGTACTGTTCTTTTACTTTAGTTCAGAATTTGAATGCAATATTTACATTTTCAAGCTTTTAAAATTGGCTACTTTCATTAAAAGTTATCAAAATGTGTTAGTATTTGTATTTTTCATAAGTGCTCAGCTTAATTATGAGATGAATGCCCTTTCATCAAAATTTCATAAATTCACTTCATTTAGGGAAATTGTATAGAATATATCATACTGTATACCATACCAATGAGCGCTACTCTTTTTCATACTTGATATTAATAATAATTAATAATTAATACAATTGCAATGGCAATAAAGAGTAAAGATTAATCAAAAATATGATGTGAATTTATATAATGCCATGTATGGTATAATAATATTTATGTAATTATCATATTTAAACAAATGAAGCTCTCAATTACTTAAATAGTCTTTAAAGGTTGATAGTACAAAAAACATGTTATTAAATCAATCGAATGTTATAATATTTATATATACAATATATTATAGTTGGGTATACATCATATCTATAATGTTATTAGCCACTGTGTAGTGTGTAATGCATGTATTTATTATTCAAACAACTAACTGTAAACACCACTGTAATACATAGTTGCAATTTAAAATAAATTATTTATGTATTGATATTTTTGGGATATGCAATTATGAATACCTAATAGCAAAAACAGAAATGCCTTAATTTCTAGGATGGGAAATGTTTTGATTAAAAATGTTATTTTACTGTATCGTTTCCAAATAACGTTTTTTGTTAATTTTTTTTTTGCTTTTGTTTTTAACTCAAAGGTTAAAATAAACTATCCTTAATATTTAAATTTAAATTATAATACTTAATTATTATTTATATGAAAATTAAAAATCATACCTAATGCCATTACATTTTAAAAGTGCAATAGTAGGTACTTAATGTAAAGCACTAGTTCTAGAGTAAAAAATAAAAATGATCCTGATCTCAGATGATTAACATACAATTCAATAAAATACTTATGTATTGCAAGAATAATTTTTAACTTTATAATTATGAATACTATAATAGTAATATACTATAATTGTGGTATAGTTTACTTTTGTTTATGATTTTTTTTTTTTTGAAAACGTTTTCAGCCCTGCTAAATGTTCAATAAAACATATACATATACGATATAGGTACTTACTATTAATATCTTATAAAATTTCAGTTAAACAATATTATTGTTAATTCAACTTTAAAAGTTTGTGTGGAGTATGATGTTGAAAGTCCACTGTATGTATTAATTATATGAGATTATTAATGTCTGTTGAAACATAATTTTCTTATTTTTAAAACCTTGGAAAACGAATAAATTTTATGTAATGTACAACATATGTATATTATTTATGTTTGAAAATTATTTTGCATACATTCATGATAAAAATTCATAAATAAAACAAATTTTAAGTTCAATTAAATCTTAATTTATTTGTATTACTTTCACTATAAAATAAATTACAAGTACATACATAACTTGCGTCTTGCCGCACGTTAATTTTGCAACTTGATAAACTAGTTGTTACCTACAGGTTTGTTTTTAGATTTTCACAATTCCAAATAAATTATTTATTCAGTCGTAAGATTATTTTTGCGTGGTTTTTATAAATAATTATATAAACAGGGTACTTAACTCCCATACATTTTGACATACGACGGACTTAATGTATTGTTTTATACTTTTGTGGGATTAAAATATTGAATATGCATGGTGTACCTACCTCACATTATAATGAAATACGTAAACCTTGAGTACATTTTAGAAATGAACACTAAAGAAATATTATGTTTAATTTTGATTTGGTTTCGATATCCAATTAAAATGCAATAAAATAATATAAATTATTAACTTACTTATTATTTTATTATTATCTATTGAAAAACAAGATCCATAATTATTTTAGCTATTATCATACCATTTGATCGAGTACAAAGTTGTATATTTTGACAATACATATTTAATTGTTTTTGAACTAGTTGGCTGTTATATTATGCACGAGTCGTAATAAATTAATAATTGTACTATGTTCTACGATCATATGTATTATTGAAGAAAAATAAAAACTTATAGCTTAATCGTTTTGTTTATGCTATAGTTTTACTACATAAAATATGATATCACAATAAATATGTTATATTTTTCGTACATCGCATATAGTGTTACAATGTTACTGAATACTGAATGATTTTATAAAAGTTTTCGTTGCCGTATGGAAAAAAAGTAGGTAATGATGGACCGCATTTGGTAATCATTCCCCATTCCTCTCATACTATGGTCGGTTTAATTCTTTAAATCGCCAATTATCTCCGAGAATATGATAATTCACGTGATTATTATTCGTACGGCGCTACTGATTGAGGGAAACGAAAATAAGAAGAAGGAGGTGGAGGAAGGAGTACGAGGCGCTAAGGAGGAGAAAAAACCTATTTTTTCCATCTATCCGTTTGTGATCCGTCTATCTGTGCACGCGGTTCAGAGTTCACCCGCTATACTACCATCACTACCGCTGTTACTCGAGAAGCCAGACTAGTGATTATAATATGTATATATTTAATCAACTACTCTAGGCTATAATTGTTGTACCAAATAATAATTGTGGGCGGCCGTTATTTGCTACGTTCATCATTGAATTCGGGCCTCTGTTTCGGTTTATCAGTACGTCATAATATCGTGTCACTTTTAATTCGCACGTTAACGCACTTATACAATGTTGAGAATTCATAAACGTAAACAAATGGTGTGGACAAAACCGGTCGTCATTTCAAAACCATTCACTAACCTACCATTAATCAGTGTTATTGCTAGACGTGTTAATTTACACTTTGTACTACCTATTGCAGTATTATAGCGTGCGCGTTTTCGTATTGGCGGTAGGTACATTCAGAGTTTCATTTGTCTTAGTGTCGATCACTGTCTTTGTAAAAATACGTATAAAATATGATATCCAGTAAATGCAATAGGTATTGATAGTTTAATAATTTGTGTATAACTTAGGTATTAAAAAAAAATTTTAATTTAAAATAAATTTTTTTTTATTTGTATAATATTATTATTTTGTCGACGAACGCTGAAGGATAAAAATCCTGTACAAGTTCTTGTAACGTTATATTTTTTATCATTTTTATAATACCACCGCGGCAAGTCACGTTTTTTAAAATTTTTTGATTGCACTTTTCACTGCACGACGATGCCTCTGAAATCCACACTCGCGAGGGAGGAGGAACTCGCTTTTCCGGTGGTGATACCAAACCTGGCTAGGTGTCATTTGTCCGATTGCGAACTGATGTGTTTTTTTAATACAGAAAAACACAGAAGTAACGCGAGGGAAAACTCTCACAGGTAAATAAAAAAAAATATATTTTTGCTCTGATTGTGCAAAATTATAATATAGTATGTCGTAATAATAAACATTATTATAATTAGTATACAGTATGATTATAATGTGTATAACTGAGCGATTAACATTATCCAAAAACGTACTTATAATTATGAACTTGTAGGTGTATAACTTATTGCTTAAATTAACTGTTGTTTAATTTTCTTGTTAGTTGTTTCCTTTATTTTGTGTATCTTAATATTTAACATTGTTACATAGTTTTTCAAAATTTAAAGCAAATTATTTACGTCCTGCCGTCCTGGTAAATTATACGTGTATACGATTTAGTAACACTGTGTTATACTTATGAATACAATATACCCTTCATTTTGTGTATAATTACGATCCATAATTTAAAATATTATTATTTTAGGTCAGGATTGTTTATTTTGAAATTGAACGTTCCCGATTCACGGGTAGTTCAGTATATTATTATTGTTGGTTTTATAATAATATGAAAGTTCGTGAGTTGTGATTTTTGTGTTTATTATTCTTGTCAATCATTTAATGTTTAAATATTTATAGACCGTCGGACTATTAGTGAATTAAATTATTTAAAGCGAGAAAAGGTCATAAATTGTTATTCTGTGTCCGAAGTGGTCGTTTCATGTGACGTTTTTTTAAAATTAGTGTTAGTATTGTTTTTAATTTACGCATCTGTTAGTTCATAACTTTATTAGTTTTTTTTTAAATGTATATTATAACAATCTGCACAATTACGTGGAATTAAATGCAAACCTTTGTTAGAGACTGACCTAAAGGGTACCGATTGATTAGATAACCTGAACTACGTGATTTGAGTGGTATTGCTTGTAATTTGCTTAAAAGGTTTTCAGATCAATATAATACCCTAATTTTGTCTCCCCAAATTAACATTGGAAATAGTTTCGATTTATGTAAAAAAATCAACTATCTTGAATGTAATAATTGTATTTTTCCCCGATAAATATTTTTATAGACCCCGATTCTAGATATATTTTAATATTTTATACAACTATTGATATAACTTATGATCATAATCTTTTCATTGATCCTAATAATTATAGTAATTATTGATTGTTCAACACAATGTCTTATTAGTATCTTATCAATGTATAATTTAAACAATACTTATACTTAATTTTAATTCACCCTTTAACACAAAATAAATGTTAATTAAATAACGCTTTCAACTTTACAAGGAGCATAATGAAAGTATATAGTAAAAGATGCTGAGTATAAAAGATTATTTTAAATACTCGTACTTGCAATGTTAATTTTTTACTGCCTACCTATAATATTCAAAATGAGCTTTATTAATTTGAATACAATTTGACTAATATATACTAATTTAAATTGTGTAGTACCTATACTTATTGATTAATTATGATTTGTCTTTTTATGTTATCTTAATAGTCTGGTAATGTTTTAATTGAGATATGTATATGTGAATGGTCGATAAATTTATCTTTCTTGGAATTTATAAATGGAATAATAATTTTGATAAGTATATAATTTTGATAGTACCAACGATAACTATCTTATATCTAAATGTAAATTGTAATTTAATTAGTATACGTATATTTAATATTAATTTAAAGTTGTGTAACAAATATTCAAAACCTTCAAACTTAACGATATAAATATATAATTGAATCATTCGTTCAAAATTTCAATTGGATGTGTTTAATGTTAATAAAAAAAAAAACAATTTAAATTACTCTTTCAATAACTAAAAACGGTAGGTAGCTTAATGTTTTTTAAACTTATTATTTATTGAATCTATACCTTTTTAAAAACGGTATACCTTACAGAAATGCAACTAACAAGTCGAGCAAGCATTAACTGCAAAATCTCCAATATTTCATTAAGAAATTGTATTCCTGTTAATTAATTAAACTTATATTTCCAGTATGTGTTTATGATTACAGGTTTATATTGTAGGATTTAAATTTGACTGAATCTGAGCCTATTTAAAACACGTATATCACGCTCTAAAATATGATTGTGAACAAATATAACCAATGATAGATAATATTCTACCTCCGAGGTTGATAGTAAATTTCTCAATTCATTTTGATATTATATTTTCCCAGTATAATACACTGATTGTTATGTGTGAATGATAATTTGTTTGACATGTCTGTGTCTAGAAACGTTTTTCTTAGTAAAATTTTTTTGATAAATCAGTTTTAAACGGTTGCAACTGTTAATATTCATCATTTCATTTTCAATCCGCTCAAATATTAATGTTAATAAAGATAGTACCGAGGTATGCCGAATCTAATTGTATTTACTTCAATTGATATTTTAATCTGTTATCATAGGTTATAGGTAATAGGTACCTAAATAGTTTGATTTTTAATTTAGTTATTTATTACGTTCAGAATGTATACCCATTTGATAAATATATGAAGACTTACATTTCGATGTGAAATGAATACATTATAAATAGAATCAAAGTTATTTTTGAGTGTCTGTTAGCGGTAATGTATGTAATACGTTATTTTATTAAATAACTAGTTATTCTATAGAATTACGGAATTTCATACATTAACGCTAACATATAAATATAGGTTGGTAGGTAGGTAAGCGTGTATTTTTAGTATATGAATAATTAAACCTGTCTATAGTTGTTAAATAATTTCTTTAAAATGTTAATTACATATTATTATTATCTAAACATACATTGACACGAATAGTTCAGACTCAAAGTTTAAGCAAAACATATTGATCAAACTGTAGTTTAATTCAAAATTAAAATTTTTGGAGTAAATAGACACTTCCAATAGTAGGCTTAAAGATGAAATTTCGGGGAAGTCGCTCTTTCGCATTATATGTTTCGAGAGTACCTCATATATATATCATTTACCTAGTACCTTTACATGGTGATGCACTAACGACTTAAAAACTACGAATACTTTTGCAATGATAGGTTGTTTGAGTTACCTATTTTATTTTACAGTAAAAATATTACTTTTTGTGGATTTAAAACTGTTTGGACTTTTAACGTCACCACGTAATCGTATATAGTAATTGAGTAAAGGTCATTCTAATGGGTGTGTCAAATTTGAATTCATTGATCAAATTATTGCATCAATTTAAGAGTTTGACTATAAACGGGTTTCTATTTCTAAAGATATTTTAAAACATAGATATTTAAATAGTTATTAGATGTGTTTTCGATATTTTTATATTGTTATAACAAATAATCAACTTATGAGTTATGAGAAACCTTGAGTTAAATTTTAAGCTATTTTGAGCTGAAAAAATGTTTATCAACATTTGTAGAAAAAAAGTTAACCATTTAAAATAGCAATAAAAGCTCAAAAAATCCAAAATGTTTTATCATGTTCAGAAAATATTAATATAAATTAATTATAAATGAATAGACTTTTAATTTTTGAAGTACAGAAAAATAACAAATTCGATTTTATCGAAAACTGCAGTATTGCTATTGGCGGTTTTTTCCTAAATGTTACTATACGTAAATACTCATGTTTTTTCAGAATATTTTTTAGTTATTCCTACTATTTTAAAAATTAGGTACTGTGAGTTTTTACTTTTGACTTCAAAGTCAAAAATTCCCTGATCCCTATATCAAATTTATAAGCAGAAAGCAAAAACCTAGACCAATATTGAAAATGTTTCCTATAAAAAGTATCTTCTGACATTCAAAAAAACACATTGGTATTTGTGGTCTTTATAACCACATTTATAGCCTTGCTCAGAATCTAAGGTATTCACTCTCTAGAACCTGATCATTTATCACAAGTTAAATAACTATTCTGATAAATATATAAAATTTATAATACTTGTATCAGTAAAGTATAAAATTAAAATATACCTTTACGTTTAACTCGATCCATAAGACAATATAGGCCATGCATTTTTCTTTAGAATTTTTCAGTTATTAGTAAACAGTTTTCGATATTTTTGATTTTGTAGAAAATATTCATCATATATGTATTAATTAATATATACGTGAGAGTGTGAGTGTGTGACGTGTTTTTCGAAATACTTATTGGGTTTCTAGATTTTAAAATAACACAAAGTTTATACAAATTAACTTCCGTTTCAACTATTTCTTTTTTCACCATCAATATTTTTATCTTGTCATCGATGGAATTTAAACATAATTTTTTACTGTTCTTAAAATTTAGGTTTTTGGGATATAACAATTTATCTACGCGTTTTAGTAGATATACGCCTAAATAACGAAAAATAGGTTCTTATAATAATTTTAATATGGTTTTTAACAAATTTTTTATTTCAATAAGGTAGTTTAGGCAGTATAGGCATCCAACAATTTCAGATTTATTATTTTTTTTTAAGGCTGAGTAATATCTAGTTTCATATGTGTCCTAAAATGTATGTATTGCCACGTATAGAAATAGCACTTTCGTCATTATGAAAATATAAAAGCAAAAACGACCATTTTAAAATTATTAGATTGACAAAGAAAAAAATACTGTTTCATGAAAGTTATGTGACGCCAAATATACATACTTATAGAATCGTGTACTTGTTCTCGGCGTATACTAAGGTAGGTTATAGTGTTATACTTCAGTATACTCTTAAAGTCGTATGTAGTTTCCTGGTATTATATACATAAACAACGACGTTGGTACTAAAAATACTGTCAGTATTATTATGTATTAGATTGTTTGCGTTTGTTATATAACTTCTTCTGAATACATACATAAGGCCATATATGTATTCAGTCAGTTACAATTGTCAAGTTCATGTTCGAGGTTTTTTTTTACGTTGACATTATCCGTACATATAAGGTATACATAGGAGGGTATTATTATCTATAATATTTATATAGCCATTGTTATGGTTTGCCAAATTTTCAAATTTTGTATTATTTTATTTTGGTAATAAATAAATGCATAATTTTTTCTCGGTGATGATTATAATATATATAATATTTTAAAATGTCTGATGTATTTCAAGAGATTTCGTTTAGGTATCATCATTT